AGTATGAGGAAGGGGCCCAACTTCATTCTTTTGCATAGGGACATTCCCCTGTCTCAGCACCATTTGTTCAAGAGACTTGCCTTTTAAAATTGAACCATCTTGGCCCCCTTGTCAATTAACCATTGGTAATAGTTCATTGCTGGATTCAGTTCTTTTTTAAATTATTTTAAATTTTTTAAAAAGATTTTTTAAATTTATTTTTATAGAGAGAGGAAAAGAGGGAGAAAGAAAGGGAGAAAAACATCAACGTGTGGTTGCCTCTCGTGTGCCCCCTACTGGGGACCTGACCTGCAACCCAGGCATGTGCCCTGACTAGGAATTGAACCAATGACCCTTTGGTTCACAGGCTGGCACTCTATCCCCTGAGCCACACCAGTCAGGGCTGGACTTAGTTCTACTCCACTGATATATTTACCTGTCCTTATACAAGGGCCACAGTAACTTGATTAGTCCTTCTTTGTTCTTCTTCAAGATTGTTTTGGCTATTCTTGGTCCTTTGACTTTCTACATGAAGTTTAGGAGCAGTTTCTCAATGTGTGTAAAATTCCAGGAGGAATTTTCATAGGATTGCTTTGAATCTATAGATCAATATAGGGAATATTGCCATATCAGCAATCTGATCCATAAATATGGGCTGTCTTTGCATTTATTTAGATCTTTATTTTCTTCCAACAATTTTTATAGTTTTCAGCAGTACACTTCCTTTATATATAATTTATTCCTATGGCCTTTATTTCTTCTTTTTGATACTGTTATAAATAGAATTGTTTCCTTAACTTTATTTTCAGATTATTCATCACTAGTTTGTACAAATATAATTGATTTTTGTATATCGATCTTGTATTCTGCAGTCTCATTGAATTTGTTTATTAGCTCTCATAGTTTTTTAGTGGATACCTTAGAATTTTACATATAGATGGTCATGTCATCTGCAAATAGAGATAGTTTTACTTTTTCTTTCCAATAGGTATGCCTTTTATTTCTTTTTCTGTCCTTGCTAGAATTTATAGTGCAATGTTGATTAGAAGTGGTGTGAGCAAACATCCTTGTCTTGTTCTCCATCACAGGGGAAAAGCGTTCGTTGCTTCACTATTAAGCATGACGCTGGTTGCTGGTGTTTCACAGATGTCCTTTATCAGGTCGAGAAAATCCTCTTTCATTCCTAGGCTGTCGAGTGGGATATTTTTTCATTAAAGAATGTTGGATTTGCCAAATAATTTTTGAGTCTTGAGGTGATACATAATTTGTTCTTTATTTTATTAATATGATTTATTACATTAATTGATTTTCAGATCTTAAACCATTCATGGGATAAATCCCACTTGGTCATGGTATATGATCTTTTAATGTGCTGTTGTATTTGGTTTGCTAGAATTTTGTTGAGGATTTTTAAATCTACTTTTATAAGAGATATTGGTCTATAGTTTGTTTTGTTTTTTTTTTTCTTGTGGTATCATTATCTGGTTTTGATGTTAGAGCAATACCAGTCTCATATTATGAGTTTTGAGAATTTTTCTTTTATCTTCTATTTTGCGGAAGAGTTTGTAGAGAATTGATATTAATTTTCTATAAATGTTTGGTAGAAATTGCTAGTGAAGCCATCTGGACCCAAACTATTGTTTGTGGAAAGTTTTAAAATAATTCATTCAATCTCTTTACTTCTCATAGGTCTAATCAAATTTTCTATATCTTATTAAATTAATTTTGATAGTCTGTGTTTCTCTAGAAATTTGTCTGTTTTCAGCGCTTTGTTTTTTCATATGGATTTGAATTATTCTCTAATGTCACTTTCTTTCAGCCTCAGTAACTTCCCTTAGTATTTCCTGTATGACAGGTCTGTTAGTGATGAATTCTCTGTTTTTGTTTTTCTTGGAATGTTTTATTTTACTTTCATTATTGAGAGGTAGTTTTGTTGGCTATAATTTGGGGCCAACACCAATGCCTCTGATCTCCATTACTTCTGATTAAAAGTCAGCAGTTATTCCTTGTACACAGTGAGTCATTTTTCTTTTGATGCTTTCAACAATTTTTCTATGTCTTTCAACAATTTGACCATAATGCGTCTGGGTGTAGAGCTCTGCATTTATCATACTTAGAGTTTGTTCAATATTTTGGATGTGTCGGTTAATGTTTTTCATCAAATTTTGGAAGTTTTCAGCCATTATTTCTTTGAATATTTTCGGTCCCTTTCTGTGTGTCTCTCCTTTTGGTACCTTGACTATGCACAGCTTAGTGGGCTTGGCAGCCTCTCGAGTTTCCCAGAGGTTCTGGTTTGTTTGTTTTTCCCTGAACCTCTTTTCCTCTGCTCTTCAGAGTGCATCATTTCTACTGGTCTCTGTTCAAGCTCATGGGTTCTATATTCTGCCAGCTCAAATCTACTGTTGAGCCCTCCAGTAAATTTATCATTTCAGTGTTTGTACTTTTCAACTCCATGGTTTCTATTTAATGCTTTTTGTAATTTCTATCTTTTTGCTGATGTTCTCTATTTGGTGAGACATTGTTCTTATATTCTCCTTTAGTTCTTTAGATATGGTTTCCTTTTGTTCTGAAATCTTTGTCTGCTAAATTCATCATCTGGGCTTCCTCAGAGCTCCTTTCTATCACCTGCATACTTTCCTGTGTTGGGTCATCCTTTCCTATTTTCATGTCTCAGAAATTTTGTTGAAACTGGACGTTTTAGATAACACATTGAAGAAATTCTGAATGTTGATTCCCCTGGATTTTGCTGAGCTGTTGTTCCCTTGTTTATTTGCTTGATGACTTGCTTTGACTGTTTCAATAACTCTCACTGGCTCTGTAGTGTGCCGCTGCTGGCATTGCTCCTCAGAGGTCACAGTCTGGGGCTGTGAATGGTCATTCCGATCACACAAGCCTTCCCCCGCCACCACCCGCCCTTGCCCCCCTCCCACAAGGACAGTGGGATTAGCCAGTATTTCTCTGTCTTCTTTGATCTTTTCCTTAGCTTCTGGCTGTTCTGCCTCTATTGGAATCACACCCAATGGTTAGCTTTCACTAGCTGCTAGCTGATTGCCGTGCTGTTTTTGGTCATGCCCTGGGGTACAAGTTGTGACCAGTACGATCCAAGTTAAATTCTGGACCCTTCACAAGGCAGGGCGTTGCCAGTCTTTGAGGCTTGCTCAGACCCCTGCAGGGTTCTTAGCTGTCTTTTTCATGGTCCTTTCTTTACAGTTCTATTTGGTTTGCTATTTTATTTGCTGCTACTAGTATCATTGCGCTATTGGCCTCCTCTTAGTTGTTCTCTACCATGACTTATGTTGTTTTTGACAAAGCCGTTAGGTATGAATTACCTCCTGATCTGTTCCAAATAAAGTCAGTTCCTTTCAGAGAACAATGGAGCTCTCTGTTCTGCTTCTGCCCCGCCCCACCCCGGGCCACCGTACCTGAGCTAGGGGTAGGGCAGCCCACTTCTCCCAGACACTCCTCATCTACGGTAAGTCAGTCCCCAGCTAGGGATGGTAACCCCTATTCTTCCTGTCTTGTCCCTTTTGGCATGTGACCTTGCCCTACAAGAAAGCCGGGGAAGGGGCTATGGGAGTCCAGTATCCTTGCCCTGCTAGACCTGGGGCAGAACCTCTACCCTGAGTGTAGGGACTGGACTAGGTGGGCAGAGGGAGCCCCAGCCCTCCTGACCAAACCCCACCTGGGATGGACTTTCTGTAACCCAGAGTCGGGAGGAGCGGGAGATGCCCGCAGCCTGCCTTTTCCTAGCCTGGAAGCTGCAGGGAGCAGGGCTCTGGCCTCTAGGCCGCTGAGCGCCGTCTCACTGAGCTGGGGAGGAGAGAGATGCTCGTTGTTCTCACCAAGATTTCATGGGTTTTCTTATAAATGTTTCTCCATGTATTGTATTGACCTTAGGACAATTTCCAGATATATATATATATATAGAGAGAGAGAGAGAGAGAGAGAGAGATGTAAAATTTTCACCAGTTAAATCATTGTTTTACTGAGGAGAGAGTTCACCAGTCTCCTTACAACTGCATTCTAGGGGTTTCCATTTGCTGCCTGTTTTATAAACAAAGTTTCATTGGAACACACATGTCTGTTCACGTGCGTATTGGTTGCAACCACCTTCCTGCTCCCACAGCAGAGCTGAGCAGCGGCCATAGGGGCCACATCGCCTGCAGAGTTTAGAACAGCCTCCTTCTGGCCATTACTGAAGAAGTTTGCTGAGGAACAGCCAAGCTATCTTTCTGTCCTCTCTACGGAAAACAATACCACAAAACTACTGTCATGTGAGGAGCAGACGTAGAGTCTGCAGTCAGACTTGCAGGAAAACTTGTGCCAGTCAGCCAACTAGAGAAAATCATCATTCTCTGCTTTTGTTTGTTTGCGGTATTGGTCAGTTTTTAAATTTTTAATATTTTGTGACGTATTTTCTTATTCTAATTCAGTATTTCATTTTATATGTAACTTGGTATTTTTAATTTCGCAGTCTTCTTACAATGGGCCCTGCCCAGTGTAAGCTCGCTCCCCGCGGGAGGGGTGAGGCAGGCAGAGCAATCAAGTCAAGTGATGGAGCTGTGTTTCCTGCTCACCAGTGTCCTTAGTATATTTGTGAACTTTTACCACGGCAGCATACCACCTGACCTGCGTTTCATATTTTCTTTAAATTGGCTTTTTTTACTTAAAGGGGCAGATCTTACATGTCTCTGGAATCCGTTGCGCAATGAGTTGCTTGCATTTAATTTAGTGTCCCCTGTGTGGACGTGCCGGTGTGTTCACCCTGGAGACAGGGTGGGGTCAGGCTCTGGCTGGGGACACAGTAGGCTGGACAGGGCGTTGAGGACTGGGGGAGGCCAGGCTGGCGCAGTGGGTGGGCCAGCACGTCACTCGGCCTCCAGCGGGCAGGGCTCGGAGCTTCTAGGGGAGCGTGGGCCCGGCCCCCGCCGCAAGCCCCCAGGGCCGAGTGGTCTCCACAGGCACCGCAGAGTGAAGGAGGGCAGGGGCGTGGGTCACAGGAACGACCTTCTGTCTTTCAGCACTGCTTTAAAGGACACTGCATCTGGCTGACACCTGACATTCTCAAACGGGACGGCAACTGGGGCTCCTGGAGTCCCTTCGGCTCCTGCTCGCGCACCTGTGGCACAGGTGTTAAGTTCAGGACCCGACAGTGCGACAACCCACAGTAAGTTCCCCAGCTCTCGGATGGCAGCTGCGGGCCCTGCGCCCTCGCCCCCACCCTGCAAGGCCCCGAGGCCGCATGCCGCCCCAGAGAGGTGCGAAGGCCAGCAGCCCTCTCACCCACTCCCCCTCCCCCGGGGGACGCTGAGACTCAGAGGGGAGGCTCGTGGCCCAGGCCACACAGCCCGCTGGGGACAGACCCGGCCCTGGACACCTGGAAACCTGGTCTCCTGACCCACAGGCCTGGGGCCATTCCCCCCACGGGCACCCCGCCTTGGCCCTGGCTTACTCTGGCTTGCCCGGCCCCTCTCCGTCGAGGGCATGGAGGACAGAAGGCGAGGCGGAGCGCAGGAAGTGAGGATAAGGCCGAGGCGGGCCCTCTCGGGCCTCGGGATGCCAGGCGCCTGAGCAGGGGCAGCTGTCACAGTCGGGCAAGGGGCAGGGTCAGCAACACACTCCCTGAACCCAGCTGCCCAGGGGACACACAGCCTGGGGAAGCTGCCCCCGTGCCCCCGGGGGCCCCGCTCCAGCGTGCCCCGTCCTGCCTCCCTGGCGCGCGGCCTGCTGTGCAGTCCCTCCTAGCCCATCCCCATGCCTATCATCCCCACCCCTCACCCCTCCTTATAAGCGCCCTTCCTTCCGGTCAGTGCCCCTCCCAGACCCATAGCCTCTTCCTCATTCACGCCCAGTCCACTCCTCTGCCGGCCCCTGCGCCTGGGCCCCCCCAGGGCGGTGCCCATGGAGGGGGGTGTGGAGCCAGGGCGCCCGAGGCTGGGCCCCATGCATCTTGGGGAGGTAACACAGTCCCTCCCCGGCCGCACCCCGGGCCCGGCAGCCTGCCCGCGGAGTCACTGGGGTGCGCACGCAGCGACGTGCCGAGGGCCCGGCGTGCAGGAAGACGTGCCCATGGTCGGCCGCTCCCTGGTCTCCCGCGGCCCATTCACTGCCCCCGGCTGCCGGGAGATGTGGCTTTGTCTTCTTTCTTCAGCCTGTCCAGACTTTGAAACATTTTGATTTACATGAAAACGTTAAAAAGCTGAAATTTCACATAAAGAAAATAGATTTCTAGTTTCAAAGTGGGCACCGTAGCAATGCCAGGCCCACATACAGTCTGGTGGGCAACTCAGGTTGTCTCTCCCCAGCGACGGGGGGAGCTGAAGACTCACCCACTCCCCCGACCTGGTCCCCCCGGATGTTTGGGTTGGCGTCCTAAACCCCAAGCCCCGGTCCCGGGCTCATCCCCCTTCTCTGGGCCCCGCCACAGCCGCATCAGAAATTGCACGTGGCTTTCCGCGCATGTGTGGTTTTCCAGGGAAGCAGGTCGCTAGCTTCACATCGGCTTCTCAGAGGAGTCCGTGACCCCAAAATTTAAGCACCACAGGTCTCTGGGGCCCATCCAGACCAGCCGGGCTCTGCCTTTGCAGCAGCTTCCCAGCTTCCCTGCTGTGCACAGCCAGGCCCTGAACGGGCCACCAGAGAGCCAGAGGGGCTCCGCAGTAACAGCTCGGGGAGCGGGGTCAAGGCGTCGGCTGGAAGGGACTGGGGTCCTGGGCTCCAGCAGAGAGAGAGCCCGTATCTCAGGGCCATCTGTGCCAGGGCCTGGCCACCCCAGCTCCTGATGGAGCCCTCTCCTCCCGCTTCTGACCGTCCCCTCCCCGGGGCCCCAGGCCCTGTCCTCACTGGGGGCAGAGTCAGGAAGGGGGCCCCAAGGGCCCTGCCCTCTGACTCCCCTCGAGCACCCCTGGGATGCTTGCCTCACGATGAGACTGACCAGACAGGATGCTAGAACCACCCCACAGCGGCCACGGGCTGCTGGGCAAGGACCGTGGGGCCCCGTCCTGTGGCGCGTGCCTGGCACTCCCCGAGCGCTCAGTAAATGGGATTAGCCTCAGCCGCCCCTTCACGTGCAACGGGGTAACGCGGGCCCAGGGTGCACAGTCGGGAGAGCAGGCGGCCTGACTTCCCGCCTTCAAGGGGGTCCAGGCGCCCCGGCTGATGCTGGCCTCCTGGGCTCCAGCGGTCGCGCCCCTGGCCAGGCTCTGGGGCAGCTCGTCCAGGCTCAGAGTGGAGAGGTGGTACATGTTCTGTCCCTCCTCATCTTCACACTGTAGGGGTTCTGCCCCTCTGGCTTGCGCAGCCTCCTTGGTGGCAACAGGACAGGGGCAGCAGTGACAGGGCGGAACTGCCGGTGCAGCCTGTGAGCCCGCCTGTTAACAGGGGCCGCCGGCCGGAGAACAGCGGGTCCTGCGCAGTGCCCACAGTCCCTGATGGGCAGCACGTCCGTGGGAGACACGCCGCTGCAGTGCCCTGTGTGTTCCTGAGCTCACGGGCTCTGCACAGCCCGTCAGCAATGCAGGTGGCCCCGGCCGCCCCTGTCTGTTGTCCCGGTGACAACTGCTGGACCTCATGCTGACCATACAAGTTCCTGCTCCCCGTGCTAGTCCACAGTCTTCCGATGACGCTGGGAGCAGTGTGGAGGCCCCCACGTCCCTGGCTGGACCCTGCTGCGCTGTGTTCGTCCTGCCCGCGCCCCAGCGGCTACAGCGCTGCCCTCCCCGACTTCGGCTCTCCAGCTCCCTCGCGGTTTGGGATGCGCACGGGTTTCGCCTCCAACCTGCGCCCCCGTGCCTGGGCTGGCCAGGGCCTCCGCAGCGGCAGACCCTCCCTGCTTGTCCCGTGGGGGCTGCGGCGCGGCCTGCGCCCCCGCGCCTGCACCCAGGTCTGCACCCTCTCCCCTAGGCACCCTTGTCGGCTCTGCCTTTGGCCTGTGGTCCCACTGGTGGCCCTGGTGTCGGACAGAGTTGCCCCTTCTTTCCACCTCCCCTCGAACACAGAGGCCTCCTGGTTCTTCCAGCAGGGCCCCCAGCGGACCCCCAGCAGGGCACAGCCTGCGGGAGGGCCTCGCGAAGGCAGCGCCTTCCTTACCATGCACCCTGCTGCAGGGCACAGAGCAGGGGCCAGCTCGGCCGGGCTCTGCCACACCGGGCAGGCGGCAGCACCGAGGGGCCGGCCTGCCACACCCTCCCTGCCTGGAAGATGCGCCTGGCACCCGCGGAGGGGCCTTTTCTGTGGGGCTGGAGCTCTGTGGATGCTTCTCAGTGATGTGAGGGGATTTCAGACACGGGGCGGAGTGCCCACGGGGTGCCACACCGGGGAAGGACCCGTGTGAGGGATTCTGCTATTTTGAAACTGCTCTTTGAGTTCCCACCCAGTCAGCACAGGGCCAGGGGCCAACGCAGGGGGGACACCGTGGGGCCCCATGGGAGAATCACCAGCCCCCAGGAGGCCGGGGGCTGCCCTGGCTCTGTGGCCAGGACAGGGCAGGGCTGGGCCCCTTCAGCCAGCAGAGCTGCTGGGCCCCTGAGGCCAGGGATCCCCCAGACCCCACAAGCAGCGCGCGAGGCTGGCTTCCTCCTGGTGGCACCGAGCCGCAAGGCCTCCGCTCTCTCCTCCAGCCCTGCCAACGGGGGCCGCACCTGCTCGGGCCTCGCCTACGACTTCCAGCTCTGCAACCCCCAGGGCTGCCCCGACGTCCTGGCCGACTTCCGCGAGCAGCAGTGCCGGCAGTGGGACCTGTACTTCGAGCACGGGGACGCCCAGCACCACTGGCTACCCCACGAGCACCGGGACGGTGAGGCGTCCTCCGCGGGGGCGGGGCGGGGCTCGGAGGCAGTCTGGTGGCTGGGCTGCGGCTTGGACTTCCTGGTGCTGCCGGGCCTGCGTGGGCAAGGCTCCCGGCCACAGGGCCGCCCGCAGAGCCCCCCGGGGCCGCCGAGGCCACTGGGCCTGGGCTGGGAGCTCAGGCAGGACTGCAGTCCAGAGGGGCCAGAGCACCAGGCCCGGCCAGGGGTGTGGGCGGGAGAGCCGGGGCTCGGCCAGTCCCGCCCGCCGCCTCCAGCCGGTGGCAGGGCTGCAGATGTGCTGCTGAGCCCACGCAGGGGTGAGGTGGGGACGGCGCTGGGTGGACCCTGCCGAGGAACCGGGCTGCCTCCCGCCATCCTGCCTTTCATTCAGGACTCAGTCAGAAACCGCAGCTTGAACTGCTTTCCTCGTGACAAGGCATTTACTGCCTTCCAGGAACGGGAAAGCCTGGTGGCTTCCAGGGCGATAGTGCTTGTATTCCTTCTGGGTCCCCCAGCCATCAGGGAATTTTAAACACAGCCTTGGTTCCTCCCAGGCACTGGGCAGGGCCGGCTGCTGGCATGGGCCCCGCTGTCCCATGGGCCCGCTGTCCCCATCGTCCTGGGTGTGTGACACCGGTGCAGCGCCCTGCAGGGAGGGGTGCAGCCTGGTGGCAGGGTAGACAGCCGCCAAGCAACGACCGGTGTTTTAGTGGCGTCTGAGAAGGAGAGATGCCAGGGACCCAAAACTGGATCAAGGGCACCCAGCCTTATTTGGGGTTCAGAGCAGCTGACTGAAGAGGGTCTTAGGGTGGAGAGCTGGCAAACGGCCACTTGCCCACCACCCGGGTGTCAGGGCCGGGGGCGCGGAGGCCGGGGCTGCCGACTGGCAACGCTCTCCTTGAGCCAGCCCCCAGGGTCAAGGCCCTGAGACAGAGACCCAAAGGGGCTGCCGTCCCTCAGCCCTTTCTCCTCCTGCCCCAGGGCGGCGCGGGGGGAGGGCGGCGAACCCTGAGAAGACCCCTGAGCATCGCCCTTGAGTGGCCCTGGGCAGGGAGCTGAGCGAGCAGCCCGCCCTCCTCGCCGACACCCCTCTTGTCCCCTTCCAGCCAAGGAGAGGTGCCACCTCTACTGCGAGTCCAAGGAGACGGGGGAGGTTGTGTCCATGAAGCGCATGGTGCACGATGGGACACGCTGCTCCTACAAGGATGCCTTCAGCATCTGCGTGCGAGGGGACTGCAGGGTGAGTGTCCTGGCGCGGCCTAGGAGGCGCAGGGTCGCCGTGGCGGTCGAGCTGGGGCCGAGCGGCACCTGGGGCGGGGCACCTGGGGCGGGGCAGGCTGCGGGCGGGCGGGCTCACCTGCCCTCCCCGGCTGGAGGCTCTCAGGCGCCAGCGCACCTCAGAGCAGCATGGGGAACGTGGGGCCCCTCCTGAGAGAGGCTAAGCCCCAGGGCAAGGCTGGGCTCAGAGCATGACTTTTAAGAGCTCCGCAGGAGATTTTAGCACACACGGTCCTCAGGTGACCGCTTCAAAGCACTGCCGCCTCCCCTCCCTCCGATGGGACCGGACAGCTCACTCTTGGCCAGGGCAGCTCTTTGTAGAAATGCCTGGTGTGTTTTCTGTTATCATTATGCCTCTGGCTTCAGTCTGAGGCTGGCACAGGAAAGCACTGCGGGGCAGCCTCAGCAGGCAGCAGCGACGTGAACACAGGCTTGCCCGCCAGGCTCCCTAGAAAGCACGGGAAGCCTGTGCAGCTTGTGTAGACAGGACTGGGGACAGGCGTCCTAAAGGCTGACTCTCGGGAGTGGTTGGCAGAGAGCTGCGGGACGCGGGCCCCTGGAGGACAGGGCGGGGCCGCAAGCCCAGGAGGTAGGGCGCGGGCAGCCGAGGCTCGCTCAGGGCCTCTGGGCCCTCATGGGGGCCCGAGAACCGCAGGAAGCCTGAAGTGAGGGGCGCCTCCAGCAGGCCTGGGGCGGGGGGCCAGGGTGGGGGGCAGGAAGCTGGCTCAGCCTGACCCCTGCGGGGGCGGGGAGGGGCAGGCCGCCCCGACGGCTCGGAGAGTGAAGCCAAGCGCTCAGGGAGGAAGGCAGCAGTGCTTCCCCTGTATCCATGGGGCTCTCATTTATGGAGGCGACGGAAAGGACCCACCGGGGCCAGTGCTGCTGAGAGAAGAGCTTAGCACTCCCAAGGGAAGGGCACGCCAGGCCTTGCGGCCACTCGGGGAAGCGCCAGTGTGGTCGGGAGGCAGAAGGAGCAGGAGAAACCCAGGCCAGAGCCGTCACGGGGTTCTCGTGGGAGAGGCAGGGCAGGGCAGGGGAACCAGTTAGGATCAGCCAGTTTGAAGAACTCGAGCCGCCTCAGCTCTAGGGTTCTGTCCAGTTGCCTGCTGCCGGGCCCTGGGACGATGTTGGGCAGGGGCCATATTGTTTTCATGGGTGAGAGGTGCGGAGGGTGGGCAGGTTTGCACCGGAAAGGTGTGCTCCCAGGCTAGCCCCTTGCCACCTCTAAGAACTGGCTAGTCCTGGGACATCATAGACACAGAATATTTGAAAAACAAAGAAACAAATCCCCTCCTCTCCACCCCCCGCCCCGGCAAAAAAACAAAAACAAAAACAAAAAACCCAGGACTGATGCAGGCAATAAGCAGGGGAAACATTTGGTAGCAGAAGAAGCTTTAAATGGCAGCTGTGAGCAGGGTCGCCAACGTAATGGAGAAGTCAGACCACTGACTTCTCACATCAGTGGGGGCAGCTGGCTTCACTTCTGACGGTGACGATTAAAGATTAATTATTCCATGAATTAATGGTGATTGTGACTGGTAAGAGCAACAGGATAGTTTTTACATAATCAGAACAAACATGCATTTACATTTATATATGCTCACACTGCAAACATTGGAAAACAGAGGAGACAGAAGATAAGGTTGAAAACACAGAAGACGTGGGTAGAATAAGATGCACTACATGAGTTCCACCACTACAGTGAATGTGAAACTCTTATCTTAAAAGGATCTAATGCTGGGTCAAAAAATAATATCCACGTGGACGCTGTCAATTAGAAAGTATCAAAACACAATGACTCAGGAAGGTTAAAAGTGAAACAGCATCAAAAGACAGCTCAGGAGAAGAAAGGAGCACACCCACAACTTACGTGCGCCCCGGGCGCCAGAAGAAAACCGGTTACACAAGGCCCGCAGCGTCATTTTGTCTTGATAAAGGGCACGTGTGCTACCAACCCTGTCACCTAAACACTGCGATGTAAAGGGAGCGATTGAAGGAAGGCCGTGTAGGCCCTGATCTCATGACTCAAGGGCGGGGGAGAGGCGGGGGAGGCGTCCCAGTGGACAGCAGGGGGCAGCCCCGCTCCTGGCGCCGTGCCCCTCGCGGACCGCCGGCACCCCCGGCACCTGCAGCGGCTCCCTCCTTGGCCTGAGCTGTCAGCCTCCCTGCTCGCAGCAGCCATGCAGAGCCACTTGGGGATGCATGGCCATCTCTAGCCTGAGCTGTCCTTGCCCCATGACCCCTCCAGAATCTGAACTGCGATTCAGGCCAGCAGGTGCACTTCACCGGCCTCTTAGACTTGGGTAAAGTCTTGGTATCATTTCCCCCTCGTTCCCTTACAGACAGCTGGGCAGTAAACAGCGTCTCCTGAGCACCTGTGGATGCTCGCAAGGGCAGATAGGTGCTTCTGAGCCAGGAGTGGGGCCTGGAAGGTCGCCCCGCCTGGCACGAGCCCACCAGCAGCCACCCAGACAAAAACCCGCTGTGCCACACTCCTCTATGTGGCAGGTTATTAGACACGCCCTGACTTCAGAAACAGTGAAAGGTGACAGAAAATGTGTCCTAGACCAGAGGGGAAGTGATGACAGACTGTTTTAATATCTCAGAGTTGGACAATCAAGTAGTTAATTGGTTTTCTGTTCATTAACCTTCTGTGACTCACAGAACAAAAGCTCAGAGCCACTGTCCTTAGACACAGCAGGCTGCCTCAGTTTCCCTTTGTCCAGGTGTCCCTCTTCTCGTCCAGCCAGTTGAATTTCCAGTGACTGCCTTTGGTTGCACACAGGCTGCAAGCCTTTTAGAAGGCGCACAGGGGTCGATGGGGGGCGCCTGAGAGCTGGCCCTCAGCAAAGGCACGCGGTCGCCTTGGGCTGCTCCTGGCAGGTCGGGCTTCGGCATCGGGGACAGGGCCCTCCTGACCACTTCCTTCCCTGGCACCTGTGCCCCTCTGTGTGGGCAGCCGCCTGCCTCCGCAGCTCTGCGTCTTTTCACTCCTGGTTATTCTGAAGGAAACCTGAGCGCTGGCCCCCTCAGGACAGCACGGGGCACCCCTTCTCCAGGGAAGTGGGCCCCTGACATCCCGCACCCCGTTCCAGCCTGTGATTCGCCCCACTGCAGCGAGCAATTCTCCGACACCCGCGTGTGTCCTGCAGTTCACCTCAGTCCTGGAGGCGGCGTCGGAGCCCACCGTGAAGGGCTCAGGCTTTCCGTGCCGCCCCCGCCGCTGCGGGCTGCCGCGGGGAGTTCAGTTGCTACCTGTGCTTCTGACCAGCCGGCTGGATTGGAAATTCCCAAAAACTCCTCCATGGGTTTGATGAATTTGCCAGAGCACCTCAGGGAGCCAGAGAAATGTTTTACTTACCTGATCACCAGTCTACTGTGAAAGGATATAACTCAGAAAATCCAGGTGGAAGAGCATAGGGCCAGGTGTGCGGGAAGGGGCAGAGGGTCCCCTGCTGACGCCAGGGGCACCGCCCCCCTCAAGTCTCCACATGTTCGCCAACCCAGAAACTCTCCAAACCCCAGCCTTTCGGGTTTTTTAGGGAGGTGTCATTACATGGGTATTGTTAACGTGATCATGAAAGACCTTTCAAAGCGAGAGGCAACAAGCGTTTATTTGCGATCACAGGACCGCTCTTTGGGATCTCTGCTTCGGGCGGGGGCCGTGTGGAGGAGGGGAAGAGGGACAACCGCAGCAGGGAAGGCAGGCATTTCTGTTGGTGCAGATAACGTAGCACCGTGACGTGGATTCTGAACCCTGTCTTCAATTTCCAGCCCAGCAGTCCTCAGACCAGTACCTGCTTTGTTACCACCTTCACAAACAGGTCTTTGGGGCACAGCATAGTCTCAGGCCCGTCCGAAGGCCACTCTGCCCTGTTTAACCTCCCAAGGTTGGAGGCATAAGACATGCAAGGAAGTTCTTGTCGGGTGGCAGCTCTTCGCTCTGTTTTAAGGGGGCTCCATTTTTTTTGTTTTCCTGTTTTTCTCTCTTTTGATGAGGATCTTCCCTGAAGGCATCAGCTCTCTGCCCTGATCAGTTTGTAAAAGCGCCACTCGGCCTCCGTGGGCAGGAGGCTCATTTTCAGGACGTCGTGCCGTTGTCAGGCCCTGGTCGCCAGGAAGGCCCATCCCTGCATGTCCCGTCCCGTGTAGAAGGAGAGGTGGTCTTCCTTAGGAACCTTAGGCCACCGTTGAGCAACAAGGGCCCGGAACAGAGGAAGGCTTCGCCGCCAGGTTTCTCTGGGGCCAGCGCCTCCTGGAGGTTCTGGAGGTTCCTCGTGGGGTCTCATAGGCCCCAGCGACCACCTCAGCACACAGAGCGACTGCAGTTGGAGTGGTATCTTTGCAGCGCTGAGCTGTGCAAAACAAACCACGTTTTATAGCAGCAAAATTCTCTCTAATAACAAACAAAACGCTGAGTCAATTTGAAGACTAAATCGGAACCCAGAGGTGTCACCTGAGGGCAGGGAGGGGTTCAGGAACCGTGATGCTAGAGGGCCGCAAACGGTCTGTGGGCGCTGCATGCAATCGTTTGGTGTGCGCCCAGATACCTCGTTTTGTCTCTATTTTACCGCCGGTGTTTTATCCAAGTACAGCAAGAGGTATTAGCAACAGGGCAAACCACCTTGCTTACCTAGGACAGGGTCAAAGGGAATTCTGTTTCCTAATATTAGTCATTCAGGGGAACTTAAAGATCTTTCTGGTTGGGTGTTGCTGTGGTGGTTGCTGCCACAGTGCCCAGGGGAAAAGTGTTTTCCCAAATCTGGCACCTTCCCTGGGGCCGACCCTGGACTCTGCGTGTGTGACAGCTGCGTGTTTTGGCCTGTGAAGCAGGTTTAAAGATGATGCCCAATATTGAGTGATCTTCCCAGAGAGAAATTAAGAGGAAAAAAGAACCAATAACTATTATGGTGAGGGCTTGGCCTGGCATATTGTTTGGGCGCAGGGAGCGAGCTGAAGCAA